CTATGCAGTTCAGGCTGGCCTCGAGCTTACTTTGTAGCCCAGGCTGGTCTCAGATTTGTAAAGATCCTCCTGCCTCAGCCTCCTGAGTTCTGGGATTACAAGTGTGTACCACCACACCTGGTACAGTATTTCTTCTTTAGATGTTTGTTATAAATTTATCATTAAGACTCTCTGAGCCATGAGTTTTCTTTATGGGAAGGTTTTTAAACTACAAATTCAATTTCTTTAATAGATACAGGAATATTAAGACTAGCTTTTAAAAAAAATTTTAGTAGGCTTTGCCTAGTTTATGTCTTTCAAGAATTTGTCCATGTACTCTAAGTTAGGGTCATCACAGCTAACTGAGCTAAATCTAATTTGCTGCTTGTTTTTGGTATGCAAAGTTTTATTGGAACATAGTCATGCCATTTGTTTATGTATTGACTGTGACTATTTTTGTGCTAGTAGAATTGAATGGTTGCAAAGGAAATGGCATAGTGCATAAAGCCTAAAATAGAGTGGTACCTTGGTTCACAAACTTAATTTGTTCCGCAGTTCTGGTTGTGAACTGAATTGGTCCGTGAACAAAATCAAATTTTCCCACAAGGTTCAATGTAAATAAGTTTAATCTGTTCTGAACCATATGTATTTTTTAACCACAAAAATATGAAACAAAGTACAGTACAATACAGTATAAAAAGAGAGAATATTAAACTTCCTTGAGGTAACTGCTGGTGTGTAGGACAGGAAGGTGGGTGGGCAAGAGGTTTTTGTTTGGATGTTTCCCCTCTTCGTCTCTTAGCTGCAGGGCCAATGTTGTTGAAAAATCTGTCTAACATCACTTGCTTTTTCCTGCACTATAGAACCCTCCAGAAATGAGAGACCATATTATCGTTCGTCAGATTCAGCACTCTGTTCATTAGTTATGCTGAAGTGGTGCATCTTAAAGAAATCCTGGCACTCATTCCATTCTTCTGTAATGGATTTTATCACATCACTGCACACCTCCTCCCAGGCTTCCTCTTCCTCAGTAGAGTGCTCCAAAGCGCCTTCTGTTGCTCACTCTGGAGTTCAGTTCTTCTGTCGTCAGCTCCCCTTTATGGCCCTCAACAAGCTCCACTGTATCTGGACCATCGATACCCAGATCCATCCTCTTGCCCATGGACACAATCTCCTCCACTTCCTGTGCATCAGAGCCTGCAAAGTCATAGTTGGTAACATTCTGGCCCGTTTCCTCCAGGCTGTGTTTAAGGTCTGATGTGACATCTTCCCAGGCTTTGTCAATGAGGTCGATGCAGTAGAGGACATTGAAATGTTTCTTCCAGGACTCTTTCAGAGTCAAGGACATCTTTTCAGTGACATTAAAACAACCAGTAAAGACCACCTTTTGTACAGCTTTTTGAAGTTGTAGATGACTTGCTGGTCCATGGGCTGCAAGAGAGGTGTCATGCTGTGGGGGAGGAATTTGACCTTTATGAAGTTATACTCAGCATCCATATCATCCACAAAGGCTAAAGGGTGTGCTGGCACATTGTTTATCAGAAGAAAGCACCTTTCAGGCAGTTGGTTGTCAGAAAGATATTTCCTAATGGTGGATGCGAATATCTCATGCAGCCATTTCATGAACAATTGCCTTGTGACCCAAGCTTTTGCATTGCCCTCCATATGACATTTAGTCTGGCCTGTGCACATTCTGTTTCTTGACTGCACAAAGGGTCTGAAAGTGGTATACCAGTAGTTGCTTACTCTTCAGATCAGCGTTTGCATTCAGACACAGAAAAGATCCACTTGTCCCTTGTGTGCTTGTGTCCTGTCAGTGCCTTTTCCTCCTGCATGATATAGGGTCTATTTGGCATCTTCTTCCAGAAGAGCCTTGTTTCATCACAGTAGAACACTTGCTGAGTGACATATCCTTCTGCCTTCATGAATTTTGTGAATTCTTCGTGGCCATGTCAGAGGTGGAATCTGACAAAAAGTGGATAGCAATTTACAAATCACCATATCTTATCACACTGTGGATGCCACTTCTCTTGCAGAATTTATGAAACCACTCTCTATGGGCTTTAAATTCATTACTTGTTGCACCTGTACAGGGATTTTCTTGTAGTAAATCACTGTGCAATTTCCTGGATGTTTCACAGATCATAGCTTCACTAACACTATCACTTGCCAGCTGTTTCTCATTCAACTACACTAATAAAAGTTTTTCCACCTCTTCTAGCACTCGTGTTCTCTGCTTAGTTTATATTGTTACTCCTTTTGCCACATCAACTCCTTTGATGACATCTTTAGTCTTCAAAATAGTCGAGATTGTTGACTTCACTGATTTGTACTCCGAGGCCAGATCAGTCACAAGAATATCATGCTCATGGTTTTCTGCAGTTTCCTTCAATTCAGTGGTTATTTTCTTCGAAACCTCCTTCTTACATGGTTATTGCTATCCACTTTCTTGTTACCTTCATTATTGATTGCTCTGTACATACCTGTCACCTTTGTTACTACTCTGCATTTTCATTTTGCCACTGTGTTTGCTCTGCACTTTCTTTGGAGCCATGTCAGATTGAATAATACCATACAGTGTTGTAGGTGCTTAAAAAGCACACTCAAAAAAGCTTCACAGTAAGTGTACACAGTCTGTCTGTGACTGCAATCTCCACTAGAGAAAGCCATGACCACGTGTCAGAGCTGGGACAATGGCCGCATTCGTGTTTGTGTGGGGAAGATGACACAGAGTTGATGAATGGAAGCAAATTGTGCTGAATGCTAGAAGCATTCACGAACCAAGGGATTACTGTATTTATTCACTGGCATTTTGCAGCAAGTTTGTCAACCTCTGATGTAAGTTTTCTGCTTTATGGGCCGAACATTGCTCATAGTATTCTTTTATTGTTCTTAATGTCTGTAAAATCTGTAGTGATGTCACTTTTCTCATTTCTGACATTTGTAATTTTGTTTCACTAATTTCTATATTGATATTTATTTCCTTTCTTTTGTTTGCATTAGGTTTCATTTCTTCTTTTTCAGTTTCTTAATGCAGAAACTTAGTTCATTGATTTAAAGCCATTTTATTTCTAATATAGGTGTTTAGTGATATAAAAGTGTTTAGTGATATAAATTTCTCTTTAAGTACTGCCTTAGTAACATTCCACAAATTTTGATATGATGTATTTTCATAGGGGAATGGGATTAGGGAAGTTTTCATAGGTACTGGTAATCTCATTCTTAGACTAGGTGGTAGGTACATGGATACATTTGCTTGTTTATTTGTATATTTATTCCTTATACCTTACATATATAAATATTCTTTTGAATGTATTCTATGTTTAGCAAGGAGCTTTTTAAAAAGTGTGATTGGGATGTACGGATGTAATTACCTTGTGGATGATAGTGGATAAACATGCTTTTATCAGTTATGTTGTGAAAAGAAGCAGAAAAAGTGGATAGCAATTTACAAATGACATGAAATAAAAGAAGTGATTGCTTTTGTGCTGTTTTGTTTTAAAGATAGGTGATCCCAAAGCAAGCTTTTTTGTTCAGATAAGTCATAAGCTTTATAAAACTATGCATGCAGATGTAAAAGTCCTATCCTGATGTTAAAATTATTATGTTTAACCAAAGCTCTTGCTTTAGAATAATAACACAGTACCACTTAAATTTTTTCTCATGTAGTAGTTTGGGTTCTGTTGTAAAATAGAAAACAAATGTTTCATTGAGTCCTAAGAATGCCATACCAAAAACTCTGGCCAAATTATCTTGGCCTAAAATATTTTCAAGTCAGATATTATATCTTGGCCTAAAATATATTCAAGTCAGATATTATATCT